ATATATATATATATATATATATATATATATATATATATATATAAAATTGTTTCCAAATAAATCATGTTCAAAGTGCAGAATGATATAATGAATTAGATACATATATACAAAATAATATATCATGATACATACCTTCATTTTTTAACTTTTGAACGCTTTTATAATCAATACCTCCTCAAATCTTCTCCCTAACGTGTCTTTTGTATATGAGGCTATTTATCTATTCTTGCAATGCCAAGAGTCAAATAGAATTCTAATATAGTCAATTGTCGTGCTTCAACAAGACAACCATTGATACATTCCGCAATATTTGAAGTCATCATTCTACCTCTATTTATTGTTGAATGAACTCTTGACCACTTCTCATACCCTGCATCTTCAACGTACCCTTAACCCTGTGATCAACTCAATCAACCTTAGCCATTAATTTATCAAAATCCTCCTTTCTGTATGCCTTAGCAATAAAGTAGCATAAATCACTTAGGGTATTCCTGCTCTTTTTGTAGTTGCCACATACATTCTTCCAAAGATGTCATATGCATGCATAATGAGGTTACATTTTTGGAACATTAATTACACTCTTTATAATACTCTCATTTCTATATGATACTACACACATATCTTTCCGCTCGCCAAATGCATTTTTAAATTGTTCGGAAAACCATGTCCACGAACAATTATTTTCAGTGTCAACAACACCATATGCCAATGGAAATATGCAACCTGATTACAAACACACATTATATCATTTGATACGTACATATACAGACAAATCACAACTACCAAAAATATATACCTGCCCCATCAAGTGTGTGCTTGCTGATACAAATGTCCCTTTGTAAGCTTCGCCCAGATGTGCACCATCGACAACAATTATTGGTCTGCAGTAATCGAATTCCCTAATCAATGGTCTTAAGGCTACGAATAGATACATAAATTATTATTCTTCAACCTTCTGCATTCTTATATAAGAATTTGGATACACGGTATTTAACATGTGTATGTATCTCAATAACTGTCTATATCCTGCAGATGATTTTCCCCTTATCTTTTCTAGTGCACGTTCTTTAGCACGCCATGCTTGCTGGTAAGATATTTCAACCCTATAGAATTCTCTAATAACATCAATTATATCTTTCGGAGTATATATTCATTTATGGTTGATCAATTTGAGAGCAGTCACAGTACTTACAAACCCGACTATTACGTGGACTTTGGTTATTACTTT